TAATTGTCGAGAAGTTGCATCCAAAATAAAAATTATTTATTTTGCTTGTAAAGAATTTTTTATCCCTTTAGTATGATAGATGATCAAATTCTACTTCCTTTGTAGACTTGAAGAGTCCACAAAAGAAATAGCATCTGCAAGAATGACATTCGCTAGTTTTAAAGTTCGTAGTGGCACTCGCATGCGATTAATTTTAATTTATAACATTCATAAACGTATATATATATAATGTTAATGTTTATTAAGAATTCCTTTCAATTATTTGTTTCTCTTTTCTTTTCTTTTGATTATCTTTTCGATAGAGAAAATCGTACGATATTTTTTTGTTACTTTCATAACTGAGTAATGCATAGGAATGAGTACATAGTCACAACAACCAACGGATGAAAGAGTCGCAAATTCTTTGCCCTGGATTGTAATTGCAGTTCTTTTCGCCTAAGACCACAAAGATATTCATAAATATCTACTACAATTACGGAGAGTTTACTACGTTTGTTTGCCTTCTTTTTTTTGTTTTTTCTTTCCCTTTGCTTGACTCCCTTCGCGTCATGATCACGAACTAAGAGCATTTGTGTCAAACATTGTGTTTCAAAGTTATCAAGTGATCAAGGGGTGATCACTTCTTGTTGTGTAATTGTGTGGTTATGTTGTCTTTCATAAATTTTGGGATTTCGAAGAAATAGCCATAAGGCAAAGCTCCGATCTCCATAAGAGATGTCTGGTACGCAGATGGATATGATAGGCATGGACAACATGTAGATGAATCAGTTTTTCGAAACTTGATTGAATTTCAGCGTTCGACGTAAACTTTAATTTGATATGTGTCATCGGCGAAGGATAAGATAAACTTATTCAGAATTTCATCTCTATGTGTGTGTGTATAGTTGGACAATGAATAAAATGTTATTTTGATGTGTATCTCTCCATATCTCAGAGTGTTACTCGCATGCGATTAAACGAATAGCTCTCTGAGGGGGATTTCTCGCAAATGAAAAGTGAATTTATTTTATAATAATTTCTTCTTCTTCAAAGTGCAATTTAATAAGCAATATCGATTATTGTGCTCATGTAATCGGGTGGTGGATATACAATATAATGCGAATTATAAAATTATTAAAACATTTTAAATAAAAATTTTTTTGTTTATTTTTTTGTTTTTTTTGTTTTTTTTGTTTTTTTTTTTTGTTAAAATTCTTTTTACTATAAAATTCACTTTCCCAATAAAATCGATTATACCGTTAAGAAGTAAAAGCTGTGAAAATCATTTAGTGAAATTTGAAATGAAAAAAGAGAAAGAGAGAGAGGGAGAGAAAATAAGAAATAAAAAATGATATTTGGTGTGTTTTTCTGTTTTTTTCAATTACCATAATATTTGTAAAACTAATTGCATAATACCGTTATAACTAATAATTTTTAAAAACAAAGTAAAAATATTTTTGCTTTTTATATAGTTACAGTCAGAATTTTTTTATATTAGTTTAATATAATTTAATTAACAATAATTGCAAAAACTTTTTATTCAGGAACAAATCTATAATTCGTTTAATTATAATTTAATTTAATAAAATTTAATTTATTTATTTATTTTTTTTTTTTGTTTTGCTTTTATACTTTAATTTAGTTTCTAATTTACATTTTTTTATTTATACAATCGATCAAAATTAAAAATTGTTTAGTTAGAGACTTCAATAATATTTTTCTAGAGTTTTTATGATTTATTTTTTAGGTGTAAATGTATCGTTTTTTTCTTTTTTTTTCTTTTTTCTTTTCTTTAACTTTCAATTATTTAATTTATTTTCTGTTTTTTCACCTAAATTAAT